TAGTGATTTTGTAGCTCTACACATATAGAATCTAATCTGACGGTATCAGCTCATGAAAGTGCTTCACTAAAAAATGGTGAAAATGCCCACAAAAGGTCTATTCTGCTGGAAAATGGGATCTTCACAGGTCTAGAAGGTCACCGTGCCGTTGTTTTAGAATCTTTTGAACGTGATATTCGTCATCAGGAGCTCAAGTTGTACTAGTCCTGTTACTCTCGAACAATCCGGATAAAGTCGGTGTAAAGCCTGGTACGCTCTCGAAAGAATCACCCTTTGACAAACATCAACTTCCGAAGAATTTTTGGATTTGCACTTTGAACATGACCAACCGGTTTCGTCACGTTCGCGTGAGGCCAACGATGGATAAACATCAGATGTTTTCTTTTCTAAAAGCTGATTGTTAACAAAATCCTCGGGCTTTTCATCTTGCTTGCTATACAGCTTACTCCATGGTTCTCGTGCGGCATCGGGCGGTTCTTTGATAGGCATATTGTGTTCATCATTATCCTTGTTAAAACGCGTGTACGGTTGGAGCCTTGTTAACCGTTGACCTTGTCCGCATACGTCACACTTAAAATCGCCCGGTGAATTCAAATAAGTGCAAATTTCACATAACCATCGATCATTCGAGGGGGCATCGGTTGGTTCTCTCGACCTCATGGAGTGTTGTCTTGTGGGACTACGTTCAACAAAGTTTCTAGTTGTATTCCGATTGTACGAGGCAGAATTTGCGTCGTCGTTGTCCTTAGTGTTTTTGTGGTCTTTGGTGTACGGCGTAGAATCTTTGACGACGGTAGAGCAAGGCTGTTCATTAGGAACTTCACACATTTGACAAAGCTTATGATTTTCTGAATTTTCGAATGTGCATCTCGAACAGTTCCACGTGTTTTTTTCGTCATTGACGAATTCCGATTTTTGATTATTGTCCAAGCCGTCTCTCAGTGGTCCATCGGTTGGCGACATAGCGGACATTTATCATTGGGTGCCATTCACATATGACGAGCGCGGTTTTAATGGGCTCTGGATTCAGCAACACATTACGTCTGATCACAGTGAAAAGTGGTTCCATGAAATATAAGGGACATGAAACAAGATCTGCTTAAATCGAACTGTATCTTTAGTGTAGAAGTAAAACAAAAATGACTTGAAAACGCGACGATAGAAAGCAAAGTTAGAAACGATAGTGTAGTATTGGACAGGTTGAAAACAACACTGGTTGTACGTAGCTCTGAGACAGACAATTATATAGGTTTACATGAACTTCCTTCACCATTACTCGTGTGGCATCAAACTTGCTCAGAAAACACTCCTCCACCATCACAATACAAAAATTACTATGGGTTGTGGCTTATTTCGTTCAGAAAAGTACAATGCGATAAAACTGGTTATTCTAACTGAAAAATTGACAAATTCAGACGAAGTTTGCACAAAGTCGACATAAAGAAACTGGCACAAATCCCTACCATGGCTGATATGAATAGTCAAGGTATTATAGGGGTGGTATATTCCAGAAAAGTCCAGTGTCACAAAAATATTTCTCGTTTTTAGATATGTTCTGTTTCATCTATTTGTTTATCCTGGTTCCAAAAAGCTAGTTTTTGAAAACTGAATGATACGGTTAAACAACAGAACAGAAAGCTGAATCGGAAAAAACACCAAAAGATGAATCAAGTGTTCGTGTCAACCGGAACTCTGTCTTGGCGGCTCACTTCACACCTGTACAACCATAGCAATGTTTTTCTGTCTTAGTTACAAAGGTCATCCTCTCTCCAGACTGACTTTGTCGAAACTATCGTCGTCCTGCTTCATCTGTATTTACCAATTTTTCAGTTACAGGAGCAGAGATATTTAATGTTTAGAACTTTTTCTGAACAGAGCATTCTACACCCGTACCACCATAAAGGGTTTTGCTCGTCTGATATCAAGAGTATTTCCTTTTAGTGGGATCATCTCTGATGGCGTTACGGCTATAAAGGTGCAGATAGATTACTGCTATTCTCAACCCTTTCAGCCGATTATAACCAGTTGAGGTTTCTATCTACCGCTTACTGTTGGGTCTATATACTGCTGTTAACGGCGAGTTTTTAATCATTCACTTTTGATTTTCCTTCTGCAAGCTGAACATTTGTACACAGACTGCTTTGATCTAAGCAAACTACATTCATATTCTGATGTTTAATCATAATACCCAGTCTTGAAAGCAAGTTTTTCGCAGAACGGTTAAAAACTCTTTTCGCACGAATCAAAAACGGTGATGGTTTTCCCGTTTTTCTACGGTGCAATTTTTTTATTTCATCTTCGGTTCCCCCTCTCAAATTCTGGATGCGAATCATCCAGAAAAGAATGGTGCTGTTACACTTTGTACCTATCCTGATGTCGGGATATTTCAGCCTGAAATTGTTGTTGTCAGATGCACCAACTTCAGCAAATTGCCAAGAACTTTTGCCACAACGTCAAAAGTTATAAATTCAACAAGAAGAACAAGAAGTGGAATGCTTGTCATGGATAATGATGACCGCTAGTTATATGCTAGGGGATCGAAAAAGTGATTAAGTTATATGAACTGCTCCGTGTTCAATTTAAGACTTTTCGTGATACATAGAAAATGAAATTTGTGACCACAGCTATTCATTAACACCGTAGAATTGTCAAACGAAGCGCAACATATGACACAATTATCGTCCTGGACTGCCGCGGCCATTCTAGAAGGGAACCATTTAGCTGTTAACGATGCGACACAGTAGCGAAAAGCACTTGTCTGAGTCTATTCGCCCGAAACGCTTAAGAGGCGATCCACAAGCGCATGTAGGAAAGTCCATAATATCGTCACAAAATAGATTTTATTTTAACCTTGCTCACTCAATTCTCCTTTCAAAGTTATCTACAAATCTAAATTTCTGGACGTCAAAAGCGTTTGTTGTCGAGTTATGAAAGTTTTAGAAAAATGAGTTAAACTTTTTTCTCAAAAAACGACTGTTCCTTTATTTCATTTATTTTTCA